GGATGTGATCACGGACATGACGAGGAGTCTCGAAATGGTCGAGACGTAAAGATTGATATATTGGAAGCCTATGTTTGGACATCGGAAGTGTTCCGGGTGAAATCGGGATTTTACCGGGTTACCGGGAGGGTTACCGGAACCCCCCGGGAGCCATATGGGCCATCATGGGCCTTAGTGGAAAGGAGAAAGGGGCAGCCCAAGGGGGCTGCGCGCCTCCCCCCTTCCCCTAGTCCTATTAGGACTAGGAGAGGTGGCCGGCCACCCCTCTCCCTCTTTCCCCCTTGGGAATCCTAGTTGGAATAGGATTGGGGGGGGAATCCTACTCCCGGTAGGAGTAGGACTCCTCCTGCGCCTCTCCCTCTTGGCCGGCGCACCCTCCCCCCTTGGCTCCTTTATATACGGAGGCAGGGGACACCTCTAAACACACAAGTTGACACAAGTTGATCCACGTGATCGATTCCTTAGCCGTGTGCGGTGCCCCCTGCCACCATATTCCTCGATAATACTGTAGCGGAGTTTAGGCGAAGCCCTGCTGCTGTAGTTCATCAAGATCGTCACCACGCCGTCGTGCTGACGGAACTCTTCCCCGACACTTTGCTGGATCGGAGTCCGGGGATCGTCATCGAGCTGAACGTGTGCTCGAACTCGGAGGTGCCGTAGTTTCGGTGCTTGATCGGTTGGATCGTGAAGACGTACGACTACTTCCTCTACGTCGTGTCATCGCTTCCGCAGTCGGTCTGCGTTGGGTACGTAGACAACACTCTCCTCTCGTTGCTATGCATCACATGATCTTGCGTGTGCGTAGGAAAATTTTTGAAATTACTACGAAACCCAACAAAGCCTAGGTCGGGTTACGGCGTATTGTTTGGCCGAGGCCGGGCATGACCCAGGAAAGTGTGTCCGGGCGGAGTTAATCGAGCGTGGTGGGTAAGTTGGTGCACCCCTGCAGGGAAGAAAACATCTATCGATAGCCTGTCCTATGGTAACGGACACTTGGAGTTGTATCCCGATCGATACAACTAGAACTAGATACTTGTGATGAGAACTGGATGGTGATGAGATTTGGAATGTGTTGACACTTGGATAGTATGGCTCTGGGATTGCTTTTTCGCAGGGAGTCGAGAAAAGATCTCTGGCCGAGGTTGATAACATTTCTGCTACTTTACTTTATGCTACTCTACTCCCTCCTGTTGCTGCAAGATGGTGGTTTCCAGAAGATGCTAGTCATCGATAGGACTAAGCCTTTCCTCTATTCTGGCATTCTGCAGTTTAGTCCATAGATATAGCTCATTTCCTTTGATACATATGCATACTTAGTTTAGATCGGATGTAAGTCTTGCGAATACTTTGGATGAGTACTCACGGCTGCTTTGTTACCTCTTTTCCCCCATACCCGATTGTTGCGACCAGATGACGGATCTCAGGAGCCAGATGACATCACTGATGACTATTGCTACCCTGAGGGTGCCTACTACTACGTGACGGCCGCTGACGACTTGGGTAGTTAGGAGGCTCCCAGGCAGGAGGCCTTGCCTTTTCGATCAACGTTGCTTTTGTGCTAGCCTTCTTAAGGCAAAACTTGTTTAACTTATGTCTGTACTCAGATATTGATGCTTCCGCTGACTCTTGTGTATTCGAGCTTATGTATTCGAGCCCTCGAGGCCCCTGGCTTGTAATATAAAGCTTGTATTATTTTAATTTGTGTCTAGAGTTGTGTTGTGATATCTTCCCGTGAGTCCTTAATCTTGATCGTACATATTTGCGTGTATGATTAGTGTACGATTGAATCGAGGGCGTCACAGTACGACTACATCAACCGCGTTGTCATAACGCTTCCGCTTACGGTCTACGAGGGTACGTGGACAACACTCTTCCCTCTCGTTACTATGCATCACCTAGATGGATCTTGCGTGTGTGTGGATTTTTTTGAAATTACTGCGTTCCCCAACACTTCCCGACTCGCAGCCAGAACTAGATGACGGATCCCGAGATCTGATCATCTAGCCTCAGGCCGGCCACCTCTGACGGAGGAGATGGCCACCATCGCCGGCTGCACCAGCCAGATCATATCTAACCTAAGGTGCCGCGAAGCCGCCCACCAGGCCCTCCACGTCGTCACCGATCCGAAGCCGGATGATGCGCCGCCACAGCAAAAGTTGTCGCCGCCCGTGACCGGGCTGCCCGACGCGCCGTAGTCGCCGTCGCCCGCTTCAGGGCCAGCCACCACAGCCGCCAGATCTGTCGCGCCACCAGACGCGCAAGGGCTCCGCCCCACCTGTGAGACGCGGGAGAGTGGAGGATCCCCGCCACCGCCGTCAGCCCCCAGGCGCATCCCGGCGGCGGGGGGAGGGTGAGGGAAGGTGGATTCGGGAGTGGGGGCGGCTAGGGCTGGGTACCCGCCCGAGTCGCCCGAGCGGGGGCGACGCGGGGGTTGAGAGAGAGAGACAGAACGAGAAGTTTTTGTTAATTCCACTGCTATCCATTATGAAAAAGGGTGAAAGAGGAAAAAGACTTACCACAGCCAAGCTCCACCATGGCAGAGCGCCAATCCACGGCATCGCGCCAATCGCCATCAAGGCAATTCTAACCCTAAACACTAACCTAGACCAATTACTTACAGGAGCAATCCGCCCTCCTCTCCCATCCCCACTCCCACCGGCGAGGACGATTCTTAGAGCAGGTACAATAGTGGGCTTGTAACCCGCCTACATGAAACTTTTGCCTATGCCAAGGAAAGAGGCATGAAAAAATGGTGCAAGTGAGCTCTCATGCAAGGGTCTAGCTATATGTGTGTTCCTAGACAAAAATAATAGATACAATGAAAGAGAAAGATAGAAGAGTAGTCTAATAGCCAACCTTATTGTAGAGTGACTATACATGTTGGCTTTAGATGACATGTTAGCTTCATATAAACCATGCTCTCATGAGCAGTTAGAGAAAAGAGAGAAAGGATTAGGAAAAATGAGGGCCTGGTCCGCGTCGCACCGACACGCTATGTTGCGAGAATGTTAATATTACGATGGAAAACCATGGATGGTAAAATTGACGCCTCCGTCATGCCATGAAATCGATTAAATGCCCGCCTGCAGAGGCGACCTCATACGCAGCAGGCGGAAACTGAACGAAGCTTCATTTCACGTTCGATTTCCAGGATCTGTTGACTCTGTCAACGTTATCCGGTCTTCCAAGAGCTGCAGGTGCTTTTACAGAGCAGACTCCATTGACCCGATCATTCATGGCTTCACGAAGCTGCCTACAGCTTGACTGGTTCTTCCTGCAGAATCACAGCTCACTGTTCGTCAGCCTGAATTGAGCTGAACTCCTGTCTCCCCATTTACGCTGGCGGACATCGCATCCCATCAGCGGTCGCAAATCGGCGGCAGAAAAGAAGGGGACATCAAGGTATAATCATCATCAACCAACCGCCAATGCCGACCGATCGACAGGGGCGAGCCCGTGCGAGGGTCCCGTCCGCCATGAAAATGGAAACCAAGAGGAACGAAACGGGTGCATGCATCTGCATCTGTGCGACGATCCTCCCCCACGCACGCATGGATTCAGATCCTCGGCAATCAATCCGCGCCGATTTTAAAGCCACATGTGGCAATGCTTGCTGCCTGGATCGGGAGGCGTTACGTTGCGCGTTCTAGGCGCGACACCAAGGTTCAATAATGGCAGCAGCACGGCACCACGGCGAGGAAGAACGAGAGAGCACGAAACCGGCAAGATTCGCCTTCACGAACGGGGCTGCAAGAGCGCACGCGGCATTCAAGGCTCCCCGTTGCAGCCCGGCCTACTGCTCCCCAACTCCTCCATGCCACATTTACGCCCGCCCTCCCACTCTTCCTACCTTGCTTCAGCACGGCACCACTGCCAGCGCCAGGCCCATAAATTCGACCTCCATCGCTGGAGAGGAAGCACCCAAGGATGGGTTGGAGTTTGGAAGCGCACGCCAAGGATAAGGTAAATGCAGGCCTTCGTACGCTCGTACATATATAAGACTGGGAAAATTTGTGTTTAAAAAAAACCGGGAAAATTTCAGGTGCTCATGAGGAGCAATGCTACACGCACACGCATTTTTTTACAGAAATTTACGGGATGCTTAGCTGGAATAAACTGTTGGAAGAAAATGGGATGAGGGGCCCACACTCTCTGAAAATCAGGGGCGGTGGAGATTAGTTAGCGAGGGAATCCTGTAAAACGTCCGTATTACTTTGTTGGTATAGAATTTTCGGCTCATGAGGCTCGTATGCTACGGTGATATGAGTTTTTAGGCCATTGGATCTCAAATCCGACGGCATTTGAGGACAAACCTCCGAAAGGTAAACTCATGCAGTGACATATATGTGCAGCTATAGTAAATAAAATTGCATATGTATAATGTACCGTATCTCCTTATCAACACGGAGATGGTAGTAAACTATTTCCGGCACATTGATTTATTGTCAAACTCGTAGCAGTACATTTTTGTTCTCTTTTTCCTTCAATGGAGATACAGTAAAGAGCTGAAATTAACAAAAGAGAAGAGGTCCGGGAGAACGGGAAGGAAGAATAGTAAATAAATAAACAAGAGAGAAATGAAAAAAAAAGGAGTACGCTCGCGATCGAGGACCACGATTATACGTTTATGAATGACCGGAAGAAATTAAGCCCTTTGTGCCGGAGCGCAACCACCGGCCGTCGGTTGCACCTCACATGCGCGCGTCAGACAGATCCGGCATATTTAACTCGGCCACCGCGGCAGCTATTACGCCGGCCGGCCCAGCCGCGGCTCCGGCCAACCGGCCGTGTCCTCCCCGACGCCATGGACACGAGCGCTCCGGCCGATCCGTCGGACCGGTCAGGTTTACCACCGAGGGAAACACACACCAGACTAACAGTAGAAGAAATGCATGGGGCATAGTAGTAGGAGTAGTTGTCGACAGATACAAATCGAGAGAGGAAGCGACAGAGAAAGAGATATCCTGTTGTAGACCGCGTGGGCGCGAGACGTTGGTTGGTTAATGCTTGAGCACCTCCGGAATGTCGACCGGGTAGCGGCTGACGCAGTCGGCCCACGGGCCCTGCGCGTCGCGCGCGGGCTCGATGCACTCCCACGCCGCGCTGTTGCACTTGAACCCGGAGCCGAAGCCGATCATCCACACGCGGTCGCCCCTGCGCATGCGCCCCTTGGCCTCGATGTAGGCCAGCTCGTACCACAGCGAGCTGCTGGACGTGTTGCCGAACCGGTGCAGCGCCATGCGCGACGCCTCCACGTGCTCGTCCGACAGCCCCAGGCTGTTCTGCAGCTCGTCGATCACGGCGCGCCCGCCCGCGTGGATGCAGAAGTGCTCGAACGCCATGCGGAAGTCGGGCAGGTACGGCTTGATGCTCTTGTTGTTGAACACCCGCCGCGCGATGAAGGACAGCGCGAAGAGCAGCTGCTCCGACGCGGGCAGGACCAGCGGCCCGATCGCCGTGATGTTCGCCTTGAGCGCGTCGCCGGCGATGGTCATGAGGTCCTTGTTCAGGTTGATGCCCCGGTGGCCCTCGTCGTCCTCCTCCTGGTACACGCACCGGTACGCGTTGTCCTGCGCGCCGGTGAGCGTGCGCACCACGCGGGAGAGCCGGAAGCGGGCCTTGGCGCGGGACGTGGACAGCAGCGCCGCCGCGCCGCCCATGCGGAAGAGGCAGTTGGGCAGCAGCATGGCGCGCTCCTTGCCGACGTAGTAGTTGGGCGTGATGGTCTCCGTGGACACCACCAGCGCGTGCGAGCCCCGCGGCGCCACCTGCAGGAAGTTGCGCGCCAGCCCCACGGAGACGAGCCCGGCGCTGCACCCCATCCCGGAGAGGTGCACGTTGCGGATGTCGCTGCGCATCTTGTACTTGCGGATGATCATGTCAGTGAAGGACGGGATGGGCGCGAAGAGGCTGCAGTTGACGACGAGCAAGTCAATGGCGTCGGGGCGGATGCCCGTCTTGGCGAGCAGGTCGTCGATGGCGGAGAAGATGACGAGCTCCACTTCGTCGCGCGAGGCCTCCAGGTTCCGGTACGGCGGGATGAAGTGGTGCGCGGGGGGCAGGCACGTCTCCTCCCCGAGCCCGGACCGCTCCAGCAGCCGCGTCATGAACCGGACGCTGCGCTCGTCAATGGAGGCCCCCTCGATGAACGTCACCAGCTTGGCGTGCTCGAGGAACGTGCCGAACGGGACGCGGTGGCTGGGCTTGGTGCGGAAGCAGGCGTAGTCGACGAGGTACACGGAGCGCGGCCGCATCATGAGGTACAGGATCCCCGCGGCGGCCGGGAGGAACGCGGCCAGGAAGACGTGCGCGGGCCGGAGCGCGTGCATCCTGGCGAGAAGCTCCTCCGGGCCGACGCGCGCCGCGCCGATGGCGCCCGCGACGGCGAGCGGCACGGCGAGCACGGCGAGGAAGTTGTTCACCACGCACTGGTACGCCGGCTTGAGGCGCCGGAGCTGGGGCGACGAGGAGCTCATGCTGTCCGCTCTCCGCTGCGGCTTGCACTGCGCGCACGCGTGAGCGAGTGTGTCACTGTGGCTGCCGCGCGCGTGTACCGATCGGCTGGTGCTGAGTTGAGTTCGGGAGCGGGAGCGGGTATAAAAAGGAGGTTAAGGCCGCGTTGGTGGGCCACGTTGGCCTTTACGAGCACAGGCTGCTAGCGCTCATGGGCTTTTGTTCGCCGATAATTCTGATGATGGCGATGAGATAATTGATGGTGCTAATCCAGGACCATGCCTCGGCCTCCCTCGGTGATAGGACAGCCTCGTCGTTTCAATGCATTTGCGGGGCCCATATTTAGTGTCACTACTATAGAGTACTCCCTCCGTCCGAAAATACTTGTCATCAAAATGGATAAAAAGAGATGTATCTAGAACTAAAATACGTCTAGATGCATCGCCTTTTATCCATTTTTATTGACAAGTATTTCCGGACGGAGGGAGTACTAAATATTCTCCCACCAGACCACTAATCATAGACCGATGATAGATCTCGGGGAACATGGAGGCTGGAGAAGTAACGGGGTGTTTGTTTTCATGGATTTTTTTGTGTAGGGACTAACAAAAGTCTTTCTTAGAGACTTTTTTACTAAATAGGAGGGATTTTTTAGGACTAAATTAGGTATTTGGGACTAAATGAAGAAGACTCTTAAAGAGAGTTTTTTTGGAATTTTTTTGAGACTTTTCGGTGGTGTTTGGTTCTCTAGTCCTAGGACTTTTTCTAGTCCAACTAAAAAGTCCCTAGTCCCTAAAAAGTTCCTCCAGTTTGTTTCCAGAGACTAAAAAGTCCCTAGTCCCTTCCTAGAGGTTATTAAATGACCATGTTGCCCCTAGTATATAAAAAAATAACAATTAAACAACATCATGGGGTGGCGGACCAATGGGTGCATGGAGGGGCATTGTTAGAAAAGTCCCAAAAAGTTCCAAAAAGACTCTCCTTGAGAGTCTTCTTCATTTAGTCCCAAATGCCTAGTTTAGTCCCTAAAAAGTCTCCCCCGTTTGGTAAAAAAGTCTTTAAGAGGGATTTTTTCTAGTCCCTACACAAAAAAGTCCCTGGAAACAAACACCCCCTTCCAACAATGCCCCTTCATGCACCCATCGGCCCGCCATCCCGTGGTGTTGTTTGATTGTTATTTTTCTATATACTAGGGGCAACATGGTCATTTAATAACCTCTAGAAAGGGACTAGTTACTTTTTAGTCTCTGAAAACAAACAGGAAGCGACTTTTTAGGGACTAGGGACTTTTTAGTTGGGACTAGAAAAAATCCTAAACTAGAGAACCAAACACCGCCTAAGAGCACTGGCATCTAAATAGAACAAACAGATCATTTTTAATTTTTTTTTGAAATACAGCAGGGCAAGTTCAAATAAAACAAGCAGAGATATTTTCTTCCCTTCAAGTTTAAAATTTTCAGACAACTGTCACATAGGTGGCCTCTTAAATAGAGCGAGTAGAATTTGTTTTACCCTTTTTTTTTGGAAATACAGGGAGAGTGGGAGAGCAAAGTGATTAGTGCCGTGCAAGAGAGAGGACCCATTGGGTCGGATTTCTGGTGCCTCCCGCGGTGTTGTCATCAGTCTACCTCATTTTTTGTGGTCTTAGGGCCATGAAGGCATGGTAAATCCCGGCTTTTACTGGCGGGAGGGCTTCATTTTTTATGTTTTGTTAGGATTTATGTCCTAATCAGAAAGGCGAGGCATGGACAGCTCTCTGAAGATGAAATAAGGTTCTCCCCGCCTCGTCCCTATTCCGGTGGTGTTTCTAGCATCATTAGAGGGTGTGTAGAGGTTTGTCTTCAGTGGATCTCGCGGGATTCGGTCGGCGTTTGTCTTTGGTGGATCCACATGGATCTCGTTTTCATTCGTCTGTGTTCATGTGTCTAAAGGTTTGATCCTTTTGATCTACACTTTTCTCATCACCGTCGGTTGTTATTCTGGTGCGCTGGTCTTATGAGGTCTTAACACGATGACTTTCCAACTGTCTACTACAACAAGGTGTTCTTTGTACTACCTTGACAATTGATGAAGATTCGAAGTTTTCTCGTGAAAAAAATTGCTTAGTGCTAGTACAACATTAAGAGCATCTACAACCGGACCTCTCAAATCCGCCTCATACGCCAGGGCGGGCCGTTCGGTCACTGACCGGTCACTTTTTTCGACCCAAACGAACGCATCAAACGGGTCGCAAACACTCGGGCTGACCGGCACCCCCCATATCCTTTCCAAATATGGGGCGGATATGGGGCGTCAGGGCCCGCCCGCCACATCGCATTGACGAAGGGGTCCCAGCCGGAAATACCGGCCTTCAAACCCGGTGGTCCGAAGCTCGTCTCCTCCGTCGGACCAGTAGGCCGCATAATGCATTGCCCGGCTATTTAAGTCAAACGACGGCACCGAAACCCTACCATTCATCCAAATTTTCCTCCTCCTGTCCGTCGCCGCCACTTTCCACTCTACTCGTCCGACTAGTAGCCATGCCCCCATGCCACCGGGTGTGGAGCGAGCCCTTTCAGACGCCGGAGCACCGACTCGAGCTCCTTAAGTAGATTCGGGCTATGCGCGAAGCCAGGATCGCCGGTGGGCTACCTCCGGACGCAGTGGATCCAGAGGAGTTGGAGGAGGAAGAGGAGGAGGATGACGAGGACGACGAGGAGGACTTTGAGGAGGAGGGGGATGAGCCGGAGGAGGAGGATGTGGGGGACGCTGGCGACGGGGATCTGCAAGCGGAGCAGCAGGCCATCCTCGATTCTCTCCGGTCGGAGTCGACTACGGAGGCAAGACGCCATCGCCGATAAGGGATGGAGGCGCAAGAGTCTGCGAAGGAGGCGGAGATGTTCGCATACATGAATGAGGTCGAGTAGGAGGAGGATGAGCCGGATCCCTCCTACCCGCCCGTCCAACCAGCGTCCGGCACCGTCGTGATGGACGCCTCCGACGATGAAGAGTAGCTAGGGTAGTACGTAGATGTAGTGTGTAGAATTTCTTTTGCATGTTTTGTATGGATTTAGGGGATAAAATATGAGAGAAACGGATACAAAGGGGGTGTTTGTTTCCAGGAACTTTTTTGTGTAGGACTAGAAAAAATCCTTCTCAGAGACTTTTTTACCAAACGGGAAGGACTTTTTAGGGACTAAATTAGGTATTTGAGACTAAATGAAAAAAATTCTTAAGGAGAGTCTAAACCAAACACCACCAAAATGTCTAATTTATGTTCGGTCAGTGTTCACAGACACACCCGGCGCGTTTGAGAAGTCAGATTTGCAAAGTCCACCGGTATCAAATTGACGTTACCGCTAGACGCTAGTCCCTACTGGACGTCAAGGGAATCGCTGAAGGCAGCAGCAGTCCATGGTAGGCGGTAGCTAGCTACTCCTGGCAGCTACTGCCCAGTGTGCAGCTGCACAGCACCAGGTGGCGGGCAGCGCTCGCACGCGCTTGCCACCGCGACTCCTGCAGCAGTGCATGAGGGGTGTTATTGTTGGCGCAGGATCTCCTGCTGCGCAGAAGGGCCAAAGGACACGCGGAATTGTTTTCACTGTGCGCAGGACTTGACGTCTCAATAACAAGACCCGGAAGTCCAAGCATGCATGCATGCATTCCCACTCCGAGTCTTTCTCGTTGGATGGCAAGCGGGCCGTTGGCACAGTGCATGGGACCGGACTTCTAGCGCGCCGTATTGTCCTCTTCGAAAGCAATGTAGCATGCGTACTAATGTAGCGTCGATCTGAGCCTTGAACGAGTCGGAGAGGAAATGCGGTGCACCGCCATGCATGCATGGTGCCTGCCGTCCGCCCGTCCCTCCCATGCTCTGTTTCCTGAAAACCGGATGGGTGCTGGTTGCCCCGAGGTCGGCATGGGCGGCCGTGGCACGTATGGGGCGCCCATGAAGCTGCATTTGCCATTTGGTATCATGACAAGTACGTACGTAGGAGGTGCAATGAAGAGGAATGATGAGCCTCACGTCTCGTTCTTTTTCAGGAGCGGCTCGTCGCTGGCATATATAGAAGGCCGGAGCGGCCGTTAAAGGCAGTGGCATCAGTTAGTTTACGCAACCATAGTTTGCCTCTCTTTTTTTTGAGGGGGGCAACCATAGTTTGCCTGATTTGTAATTTTGGGGCCTGAAATAGAAGGCCATAACAAGCCGTTAAAGGCGGCGACGTTCGCCGCCTGTGGCGTTGGCGATCGACAGCCCGTCGGTGCCGGACGGGGAAGGTCGGTTGGTAAGCCCACGTGCATGGTGATGACCGCTTTTGCTTAGCTAGCACGAGATGCACCGTACCGTTAAGTGCAACGTGCCAACGTTTTTCTGGTCTAATTTGGGTGGTATCCACATCTGTCCATCCGTTATATCTATCCTTGAGGTACTGTTGCGTTACGGTGAACGATTCAGCCTACCAACTTCTACTCCTGAGCTCATTTGAGCTCGAGGTGAATAGTAAATTTCAAAAGGAAATGTAAAATAATTCTATAAATTCTATAAAAAAATTGATGTAAACTTTGACAAATGTTCATGGTGCTTGAAAATTTTCATCCCGAAATAACATTTGTAGAAGTCATGGAAGAAAAAACAGCACTCCAAAGTGTTTTCAAAAACAACATTCTTTGAGTGTTGGTTTCTTTACCACGACTTCCACGAATGTTATTGTGGGATGAAAATTTTCAAACATTGAGAATATTTGTCAAAGTTTGGACAAAAAAAATTAGAATTGTTAAAAAAACCATTTTATGATTTACTGTTCATTAGGAAGCATATGAGCTCGGGACTAGATGCTCCGCATCCGCCAGAGCAACCGTTTTTGGGGTCTGACTTTCATGGAATCCACATCTGTCCATACGTATATCTATACTCCAGGCATTGTGAAACTGCGGTGGACGGTTGATTAACAATCTTTCTCCAACAAAGTTAGATGACCTACTTGGGTTCTCTTATGTCGCTCCATCTATCCTTCCGAAGAGAAGTTTGTTTGGGTTCAAACTTTGATTCTAATAGGACACATACTAATGTGCCTTGAATGATCCACATCTTTGGGTCATACGCCGGTGAGCACATTGCACTATCGATGTAGCTGAGAGCCCTCATGACCCAAGCATAATGACGGACTCTCCAGTATTGAACTAATAGCCCGTCATACAACCCTTTCTTGTCAGCGCCACCCACTGTACTCTTTTTCCATATTTGGCATGAGTTTCAACGATAAAACACTTCCCTTCATTTGATTTACGCAGGGCCTACCGTCTACCCATCGTCTTTGGCGATAAGTTACATCGACATCTCCATATTTGGGGAAGACTACAAACAAATTAAAAAATCCTATGTATTTCTCCAAATTTTGGATAACATTCAAACATTGAGCACTTATTTTTTTAAATAAGTTTGACTAAGCTTACAAAATGATCTATGGGCACATTCAAAAGTTCATGATGGACTTTTATCAAAATAAGTAATGGATGAAGTCAACAATGATTCTTCATTCTTTGCGGAAAAGTCAAGAATAATTCAACTTTCAACTTTTATTATTTCGGGTAGATGGGAAAAAAGGGAAAATGAATGTGGCTTCCCTTAGCCCCACATCTCACCGGCAAAACTGGAGGACGGTGGTAGAGGATGGTTATGGTGTGAAGGGCTTGATTCGACCACCAGCCATGTAGGGATCCTAGGCCATATGAATTTACATCTAATATCAGTAGGAAAGAAGTATGTCTATCAGAGGGGCGGGGGGTGAATGAGAGTTTTAAAAATTTCTTAGGAAATCTCAAAACTCTCGGAACCCAGCAGCGGAGCGAATGAAAACAGAGTACAGCGAGCGAATACAAGCTGACGTATACCAGTGTGCAAGAGTGCTACGCTGCCAACGTATACTAGATTAGATGCCTCAATTCATGCCGAATGTGTTCCATCTTGTTTCTGTGCTGCACTCTGTTCAAAGGATCCGGGGTTACATACTGTTGCTAGAGGATTCTTGCTCCTCTCAAATAACAATGGTATACCTGATGCGTGGTTAATTCTGCTATGCCAGAGTCACACAACTCTGTTAGCTGCTCAATGTGTGGATGATGAAACCACAAGGAAGCAGTGCAAGGAGGTGCCATGGGAACCCAGTGATTTTTACATGGCACCAGTTGTTCTCACCAGGTTGCAGCCAGAAAAATTTCAGCGAGGGAGGGGTGTCACAGTTCCGGCTACATTCTTTGAGCAAGCCCCCATTGGCCGCCACTACTATCACGATTTTGGCCACAACGGTGCCGACAACGATCACAATTACAAGTATCTCACTGAAGTCTACCATGTCCTCGGCTACCACCGAGACGTCGAGCCAGTCAAAGACCATCGCATGCAATGGGATCCGGGCGGTTCTCGGTGGAGTCGGCTTGGGGTCAAGTCGAATTTCAAGAAAGGGGGGATGTCAGGGCCCTTCCTTAGCCCATACATGTATGTGGGCTTGCCTCTGGACATCACTTGGGCCTGGCCTGACTGGGAATCCTCAAGAGCTGCAGCTACTTATACCTGGGAGGAAGCAACGAGCAGACCATCCGCGTAGGATCAGGCTTGGCGGCGGCGGCGGGTTCTTCTGGCTCTCTTTCTTCTACCTCTGGCTCCTCTCAATCCTCTCTAGGTGTACATCAAAACCACCACAAACCTGTACTGCCTAAGTGATTGAGCGTATCCGAGTAGTGGGTTGTAACAGTTTAGTAGCACAAGACAATAGAAAAAGAGCATCAACTATTGGTTCACGAAATTTTTTTAAAAATTGTGAGCTTTTCGTCAAATTACTGAAACTTTTTTTCAATTCGTGAACTATTTTTGAATTACTGTACCTTTTCTCATATTCATAAATCATTTTTAAATTCGTTAACATATGACCATTTTTTGAACAATAATGTTACACCTACAAAGACCTACAAAGGTATACTTGACCTTCCAAAGTAATTCTCTCTCTCCCTCCTAATTTTAAGTTGGGCGGGCCCCCTCGTCCCCTTATTACCAATCACAATCCTCCACATCAGTTTGTATGTAAAATCTTTAAGTAAACATTTGTAGATGTAGCATTACTCTTTTTTGAATGTAATGTTTTATCTATGAAAAACTGTCCAACCAATAGTTGATGCTCTTTCTATGGTCTTGTTTTTTTTTAAGGCAACCTCGCAAAGCTTTATTATGTCGTCACAATATTTACAGGGACGAAACCAATTCCATCCCGCTGGCCTAACCAAACATGGCGGCCAGCTCCCAAACTCAACGCATGCTTTGCTAAGTTGTGAGTATCAAAATTTGAGCTCCTAAACTGATGAACTAAATTACAAGAATTAAAAGAAGACATTTGTAACTTTATCTCTCTGATTATTGGGCCATAAACTGCAGCTCCTCCTCCTTCTACTTCCTGAACCACCCCTTTGCAATCTGTAGCAGCATACACCCGCGCAATGTTTAGACCATTAGCGAGATCAAGGCCCTCTTTGACCGACAAAGCTTCAAGTGTAGTTGGATCAAATATATGCTTGTGTATTAGTGCTGCCGCTCCAAGAAAACTTCCATCTTGCGCTCTACAAATCGCCGCAACGGCTCCATAACTACCTCCTCGGCCGACCGCAGCATCAACATTCAACTTAGTGTAGCCTTCTAGAGGAGCAATCCATCGAGCGTGATGACGTTCACCCACTCTCCTACCTTCCCTTGATGGCATCAATATTTGAATTTCAGACAGGTAGGAATTGATAAAACCGTGCGTAGTTTGAGGGGTCTTGAATATGCCTTCATAGATTGCTTTTCTCCTTGCGCCCCAAATAG